GGCATTGCTTCGGTCCCACATGTACTGGGAGACTATATGTAACAGTCATGACACATTCTCATCCAAAAACACATTTTTTTGCACTCTTTGTTAGGAAACTATGGTCATGGAATACCATCCAGCCAGGTGAATAAGCACCGACCACGGGGGTAGGAAGCCGTGAGATGGGTGTGCGCGGGAATAGACGTCCATGCCCATTGGCCACCTGTCGCCGCTAGCAGCGGATCACCACTCCCACGGCGCGGGATTGTCACAACGGCTTTGTGGCCCCCACAGATGTCGTTTGGCCCCAGCCCCCCAGTGACTCTCTGCGGTCATGTGGGGCGTAGATATAGATCCTATACCCGGGCTTTTTAAAGTTGAAACTATTCAGTAGGGCCACCACTTGGGATCCAAGATTTTCTTCGCCTCTATCCCAACTGGAGATCCTATTCAAATTTCATGTGAAACTACGTAATCTAAAATAAAAATAAAAGTAATGTAGATTATGATATGAATAGAAGAAGAAAAAGAACTAACTGGAAGAAAGAATGAGACGAAATCTCCCTTTTTCCTCTTTTCTTTCCTTCATCTTGCTTTCCTCCTACATTTTGTGACCTGGTATGCTTGTGTATGTATGTAATCACACAAAAAGGGTTTCATTGCACATAATAATAAGAATAAGAATATGGAGGTGAAATGTTTTGGTTACTCAATTCTATTAAATTTTTGTGACATAAATATACATGATTATAGTTTTTTGAAAAACCCATTCCAGCACACAGTTGCAATATGGCAAATTGACATGTATACTCAATAACTTTTTGCTCAAAACCAATGCCTTCTAGTGTGAATTGAGAAACTAGCCTGTAAAAAAAATTAAATTCATGGAAGCACAGATACTTTGATTAAACGTTGTGCACCTGAACAGTGTGGAGGTGAGATCAAAGTGGATGGTAACCACAGAAAAAGAAAAGGAAGTGTTTGTCCTTTTCTTCTTATTATTTTTGTCAATGACTATGTTCAAAATTTGTAGCCTTCTATGTACAGAATCAGGGAATGAAGCAGCAGCCAATAGAGGAAATTGTGCCATGGTGCTCCCCAGGGCATGATCTTACATGTTGGCTGCAAATCCCTTGTGCCAACAAGTAAGATCATGCCCTGATATACTTTTCAACCAGATCCAACACTGCAATATATATGTATATATATATATATATATATATATACATATTGCAGTGTGGACAGTTGGAATCTTGTGTTTGTGTTGTTTGAGAACCTCTGATGCAGGAAATGGGGAGCAGGTGACTCAGGCCTTGTCTTCTACCCCCCTCCCCCAGACCAAAATACTGCCTTCCATTTTCAGACCACATTTATCATAAACAAATATGAAAGCAGCTCATCTATCATTTGTGTTTCTATTGAGCCTATTAATTCTTTGACGTGTGGGTCATTTAAAGTATCCGCTTCTGGGCTGTGTCCACCTCCAGGTATTTTACTCTGTAGGGCAGTGTCATTGACACCTGTAGTAAGTCTTAGCTTGGTTGGTTACTATATTAGACCTCTGCAGATCATTTAATTTTGGTTAAATTTGCAGGTTACAGATAACGTAACGAGAGAGAGAGAGAGAGAGAAACGAAAAAAAAAAAGGGAAGCAAGCAGAAGAGGACGAGAGAGAGAGAGAGAAAAAAACTAGAGTGAAATGATAAAGAAAGGTTGCTCCACTCATGAAATGATTTTGGATAGTATCTAAAATGGAAAGACCCCAAATGTGTGACCCTGGCAGATCTTAACGCAGTGTAATTTTTTTTATTGTTTATTTTCTATGGATGTTAAAAAGGGGTAAATTAATTGCATAATTGCTTCAATCATTTCTGTTACATGCACCAATGGATTTGCTCACAATTCCTGTTGAGCTCTGGTATTGATATATACATATACATAAATTTAATCCTGACATCCAGAATCATGTGAGGAAAATCTCTAGTAGCAGCAAACTTTCAATTGAGAATTGAATAATAATGCATAAAAAAAATGAATAACAAAATTGAGTATTTTTCTAATGTGACAATATTATTCAGTAAAGCTTGCCTCAAAATCCATGCAATTTATTGCAGAAATTGAAATAAATTCAAATTCCATTCAGTTGTACAGATATGTGCAATATAAATATGGCAAACCTGGATAAAACACTGCAAGAATATTATATTATTATTATTATATTATTTTTTCAAGCTTGATTCCATTTTTAATATTGTGGCATGTGTAGTGGCTACCTGCAAAGGTCTAATGTAGTAAGTATCTAATCCTTAATGTAATCTAGTGCACCATGCATGACAATCTTGGTGCACAGCTAGACTCCCAAATACAATTAAACTGCTAAGTCTCCATCCACAAGTATGTACACACCACAATGTTATCCATAGTTAACTTGCTCATATTTGGTATGGTACATATGAACATGGTGGCTGAAATTGTGCTGCATTAGCATAATTATAAATTAATGAAAAATCACAATATATATGAAGATCTTTAGAAAATATTCAGAGTTTGTAAAAGCATGCCTGCTCTTCACCATTGCTACAGTTATTGGGATTATTTTACATGTTTGTCATTTATCACAGAATGATATGAAGGTGTAAGTGGCACCCAAAGCAGTTATCAAATGCCCTGATGAAGACATCTAGCAGATCAGAATGTTATTGAATTTATTTCCTCATTTTTAACACATGTGAGAAGGGTGAATACTAATAATAATAATTGTCACAGTTTACTAGTAGATATATGGTGATAGCATTCTGACTAAGGAATAGAGAGAGCTAGAGAATTAGTTGTTGGTCACTGTGTTTTGATGAACTTAGGTTTGCTGCATGGAATGATGCTGTGGTATATCACCCCTCAGATTGGACTGTGTGGATGGGATGCCTGGTGCTGAGATCCTGCGATTATGGACGTGGGGAATAACTAATCTAAACAGTAATCATCGAAAGCGCCAAATAACCATGTCACACATAGATGCACCTCTCAAAGTCTACAGCTTAAAAATCCTGGAGCCTAGAGCCTAGACCAGGAGTCTAACTCTAAGGACGCAGGGATGGTCTCGGAAATAGGCCGCAGCTCAATTCCGTGGAGTTATTGAAATAGCTTCGATTTAAAGCGACGAGATTTCAAGCTTCCAGCGCCGTTAGGTCTTTCGTAGTTGTGAACAGCTCGACAGCAAGTGCAGCAGATCCATTCTCTCACGGCCCAAGAAGCATTCCAGCAGTTCGTGTCCAAACCATCTCTACGTTTCTTTGCAGCGGTAGTAATTCGTCAATCTCGTGAATGCGCGGGTAGCCCTGCCTCACTCTGATGAGCTGAGGACGATTTTCTGCTAAGAACGAAATCTATTGACCTTTTTAAATTTTCACGTATATCTTCTTTATTTTTGCCTGGCTTGCAGGATGCTTGGGCTGCTGTGCCCACTGGGGAGGGAGCACTTCACTTTGGTCGCAATAGTCGTGTTGATGTTGATGCTAGTAGCAGCAACACCGTATTGGATCCACATTAGTGATGCGCCAACTCGGCAGAGTGTGCTTGCGCTCACCGGGGCGGGCGGCGAACCTGCATCACAAGAAGTTGCAGGTGAGTTCCTCCGGCAACCTCCTCTCCTCTCAGATGTGACCCACTTGATCTCAGAGTATCCAGCCCACTTCTCTACGCAGCTTTCATGTGGGCAGTACGTGGTCCTATCGATCCGATTCTCTTATGCTCCCTCAAGCTTGACTGGCAGTACCTGATGACTTTATCCTTTCGTCGCGGGTTGTGTGGCAGGTGTGGAGCTCTCTTTCGCGCCGATAGATGAAGTCCTTGCCGCTGCCAGATCGGAGAGCCCGCATCGCAGAGGGGGAATCGTAGAGAAGCTGCCGCTGCTCATGGAATGAATGACAAGGATTGCAAAGCCCTTGCGCGCCACTACGCTCCCAAATTCCAGTGCAGGGTGGGTGGCAAATGCACACAAGCTTAGCAGTTCCCACGCACCGACGCGCCTTCTTCCAGGCACTACGCTGGTCTCGGAATATCGATGTGACCTCCTCATCGACCTCATGAAATCCGCACAATTCCACTCTTTCGGCCTTTTCCCTCTCCTCTCTGTTCAATAAATTTTTGGGGTTTTGTGAATGATATGTCACATTTATTTCATGTTTCTTCTTATTCTTATTAGTTTATTGTATTTTGGCATTTGGGTTGTACAAGGTCAACATTAGCTAGATCAAATGTAATATTGCGCCAAACTTTACCTGATTACAGGTGTACTGGAGATACAATCAACTTATGCATTCTTGGTAATTCTATTGTTAAATTATGTCTTGAAAAAAGTATGCGGATACTATAAAGATTTATGTACATGTCGAAAATTTTATTTTTATATATCATTTGTACATATAATAAAAACACGTATCTAATTTTTTCTAATTACATGATAGTTGATCAAGTTTGATAGGATCATGCTATTTTGCAACTACAACAGTTTTATTTCTAGAACTTGATACTTTTTTGTTCTGTAAGTGATTATAATTTTAAGATTATAGAATTTTTATTCATGTATCCGAAAATAGAAATTGGATTGACCTTTGATATTTAAACATGATTAAACGAGGATAGAGATCTAAGAGTCCACTAACCATGCTATTTGTAACCAATGTGTGGATGCAACCTGTACAGAAACCGATTGCTTTGATACGAGGGTGTATTCTTGCTCTTGATAAGAGGATGTAGTACCCCATGATTAGTACAAAATAATAGGCTAAATGCCGCTGACTACTTGGGAGGTACTACTCAGCTTAGGTCAGACTGCTACAAAAGAGCAGCACGCAGACTCTGACTAACAGACAAACCAACTTCCAAGTGGATGTGTGAAGATATGATTTACAGAGAGAGTTCCACAAGAAGAGTGTCAAATTTAACAATCAAAATACTGCAACGCTGAATGGTCAACAACCCAACCTTCACGGCAAACTTCAGAAGGCTTACACAACATATGAAAGGTTGCAAAGCCTGCGGCTCTTTCTTCCCATTTCCACAAACAAATATTTGCATGTAGATACGCTTAGTCCATTTCAATCAGAACCTGGTAGTTGATCAGTGGCTCCTACTCTCCAATCTGCTTATCTTTTAGGCCACTGTGGACTCACTACCTGGGTGCATAACAATAAAATTGAATTTAAAAACACGAATTTGCAGTAGTTAGTGCATACGAAAATTGCTAGAGCTGTGCCTGGATGTATATCTACCTGATGTGCTGACGAGAAATTCTTTGGTGAGAGCAGCGTAGGAAAAATATACAGGGTTACAAGACAAGGAACGACGAAGGATTATACCTCAAGAGTGGCAAACACTAAGCGCATGCGGTCAGCAACTAAAGAAGGCTCTTCTGCATATCCGGAAACGGCCATTTGCTCCATCTGAAGCGGCTTGACAGACATCCTGAACAATAATTTTCAGACACTAATTAGTTTGACATGGTCCAAGGATAAACAAATTAGATTTTTACCACTCTTTTCAATCATGGTACTTTCGACAAGATGAATATTTTCCGAGTATCACTGAAAGAAAAAAGAAAATGTTTTTGTTGAATCTTTGCTTCGAGTTTTACATGTTTTTGAACCAAATCATAAACAAATAAAACAAACGGGTGAGACATCCAAAAAAACCAACGGACTACTCACCAGGCCATGCCGCGTTCGTAGTATGCTTTCGCAATCAACTCACAAAAGCCACGCCATTGAATCTGAGCCTCTGCTGTGACGGGAGGTGTACTTGACCAACGCACTACTGTCGGTTGTGGGGTGCATTGAATGGTGATAAATAGTATGGAAGTCCATAGGATGCATTCTTCCACCTGCTTGACCTCAACAACATTAACCAATCAGATTCTATTTAGGTTATCCATCTTTGGAGACCTTCATTGTAGAAGAAAGTCCCACCCGTTAAGTGACACAACCTACCATGATGGAGATGGAAGACAGTTGAAGGACAAACATGTTTCTGAGAATCTAAATCACAAAAGCAGTAAGTTCAGACTTCCAATCGTATTTTGTTACACACAAGCCACGATATTCTCAGAACCTATGAAGTGTGCCATAAGAGCACCGATGTTCCAGAAAACAATACAATGCAAGAAATGTACGCGTGGAACGACATGAAGTGACTAATAAATGAGCTAAAGATTACAACAAGGTAAATGGATCAAAATTGCACCTCTTCAGCTGCCAACTTAGTTTTGATTCCAACAGAACCTGTAGAAACAGGAGTATCTTCAAGATCCGCTTCACGGGTACCAATGTTCAATAACTCCTTCCGTAAATCTTCTGTAGTGCATCCTACTGAATATGCCGTCACCCCTGCCTCTATAAAATCCTGCAAACGCCCAAGATACATTGTGACAACCTTGAATCAAAGCAACACAGGACATCCGTTCAATGGTTATTCCAGGAACTGTACGTGCACGCACCTCCTCACGCGCGGTTAGGTCATCAGACTAGCCAATTGCTATGTTCCGTTAACTTCAAACGGAAAACCAAAAATTAACCAAACAAAGAGTAGATCATGTAGTTATAAACGCAAGTTTCGCAAGAAGACGCACATTTCTTCAACTAGGATGCTAGACAAACTGTTAAACTGGACAAAAAAACAAAACAAAACAAACCAAAAACGAAAGAAAAATAAAAAAGAAGAAGGATAATAGTTATTCAATCAAAACTAAATAAAGCGTGAAAAATCTTCGATTACTCACATGCAAATTGTTTGCGATGCCACCTTGGAGAACACTCTTGTAACGCTTGTGTAAACCAAGTGCTATGCTTTGTGATGACCGAAACTCGTCATCAAAGGACGCACGAACGTCCTGCAGTATCAGAAGGGTTTGGAGACCATGAGAAAAAGTTGTGATTCAACCACAAGAAACGTTGCTTAACATAATTAGATGTTATGCCGACAAATGTTTAACTGCCTTCAGTAATGCCGAAGCTTAGGACATAATCGTGTAACTATGTAACTAACCTTTTGCAACCTCGAAATACGCAAAAAAGAGAACTTTTGCCTACACCTACGACTGGTTTTCAAGTTTGCCTCGAAACGAGCTGCAGCGCCCTCCAACAGTACGCAGTTTTTTGACGCACCATGTGGCCAGAAATTGTATCTTGCGCATCCTGGAATTGCCTTGGAGAACCTAACTGGACAAGATGAGACTGGCGCTGCCAAAGTGCTTGAGAACGCCGACTGATTCATAGCACTTCACCCCTGTATCACGATAAACTTGGATGTAAAGTCTGTCAATTCTGCATCGCATTTTCATAGCCGGAAATAAACCATTTACTATCCCATCAACTTCTTGTGTTTACTAAGGAAATTCACTGAAAATGAAAACTATTTGAAGCGTAACAGCTAACTTTCAATAAAGTATATACGCCAAATACCCAAATGAACCGTAACCCACACAAATGATACGCACAGTAAACCCCTACGGATAGTGAACGAGCATCCCGTTGAGATCATTAAATATGACGCGAGGAACTGAGGAAATTCGAACAACAGGCAACCATACAAACTCTACTCTACTAATGTAATGTGCAATTTCCAACTGGCGTCCGATACTGACCTGGGTATACAGCGAAAAAACCTCCAACATGACAGGCGCAGTACACAGCGCTGGTTAGGTCACACGCGCTGCTCTTGATTAGTTAACTTCCGCTGAGATATAATCTCTGTATCACATTCAACAAGTTGTACTCAATTACGAACTAGAGAGGTAGGTTTTGGTTCAGAAAAAACTCGCTTGCAGTCTAGTCATCAGAACGGTCTGCACTTTTTTACTTCACCCTCGCATGTCTCGCAATCATTCGCTCTACACAGCACACGTTGCACAAATTACATGCCATGCCGTGCTAAAACACAACATCTCAAAGACAGAATTCTTCCGCAAAACCCAATTCATGAAATTAGAATTGCATTTCGAAGGCAAAATGTCTCACTCGAAAGCCGGGCTCATTCAACAGTCTCACTTCACGGAAAGCCACCAATTCTCAACCCAGCAAAAATCAAACTGTCCCTCACCTCATTTAAACAGACCCACTAGAAGAACAATAAATAAATAAATAAATACAAAAATCTACGACACAGTCATTAAAAAAAGAGTACGCATACGCTCAAACCCAGACGATTCCCCGTCTAAACACATAAGCCTCACATCTCAAACGATTTAGTGCACCAAAACTGAAGATGCGCAGACACTGGCCCCCGCCATCCATACCCCGTGCTGTCATACGAGCAAGCCGCGCACATTGTGTGAAAAAACCACTCCAGATTTAGACAAATTGGTTCTAGAACCGGGAAATTCAGCAACTGGGTCACGCGGAGTCGCAGCGAGTGCATGCGAAGAGGAGGAGAGGGAAGAAGAAGTCCAATGGAGGGGGGTGGTGGGGGTGGGGGTCCACAGGAAGAGGAGGAGAGGCCTTCAGCTGGCCAAGCCTTTGCCAAAAGCAAAGGCACCCAGCTCTCGTCCCATCCCCCCCCCCCCGCAACTCCTTTCATCCTGTGGGCCCCACCCCTATATGCCACGTCACCGTACCTTTTCCACTCTTTCGGGCAGCCCCCTTTCCTTTGCATGGAGTCCGTCATACATACATACATACATACACATACATGTACACAGTTGTGCTGGAGTTTCATGTCATGGTATCAATTAGTTTTGTGTTTTCTTGGATGTGTTTGGGGTTCTGTACAACTTGAAGTCAGAATTTTGTACATGAAAATCGTAGAGTTTCAAGTTTTGTTTTAGATTTTTTCAATGAGTATCACAGGTTGCATACAACAACATTCCAAATTTGCATATGTAACCATTTGGAGTTAATTTTCTTTGTTTGTATGCATAAATTTACAAGAACAAATATAATTAAATAAGTATATATATATATATATATATATATATATATATATATATAAATATATATTCATACATAAATTGAGACAAAAATTTTGATTAAAAACTATAAGAAAATCAAAGAAACACAAAAAGACTAAGCATTGTATTAGTTTGATAGCTTAACAAAGATCATTTGAATTCCTCCTATGAAAGGCAACTTGAAAATAACTTTAATTTTTTGAAATAAAGTTTTGAAGAAGAAAAATATTTTTTATAAGTTAATTTTCAAAGGTTGATTTTTTAAAAGTATAAAACTAAAAAGTTTTTTATGAAATACTTGTAAATAGATATATTATTTTGAATATGTTATTTTATTTATTTATAAATATCATAAATAATAAATAAATGATAAACCGAATATTTCAAATTAATTTTTTTGAACTAAATAATTTCAAACCAATTATATATATATTCAAAGTAATATAATTTTGTAATTTTTTTTTTTTAAAAGAAGAAAAATCAGAAATGGATATAAGATTGAAAAAATAATAATTATTACAAAATACAAAGAGATAAAAGATTCTTGAATCAAAACAAGAACATAAAAAAGGTATTCATACAAGTAACAAAGGTTTTATTTTTGCTTCTATATTTACTTTCTAATCAAGGAACTAATATCAAAGATAAAAACTTAAAGAATTTAAATAAACAATAGAGGCATTGTTCAAATAGAGATAATAAATATATATATATATATATATTAAAAGAAACTAAAAGGCTATTGCAAAAGATTAAAAAACTAAAGACTCTTGAAACTAAACTAGAAGCACAAAAAGATTTGATTAGAGTGAAGAAGGCATCATTCTTGCCTCTATATATACTATCTAACTAAGAGCTATGTAGCAATCTTCTATGCAATCTCTAACATGTGTCCAACTTACAAGACATGTGTCTAATTTGCAAGGCAAGTTTCTTATATGTGTGCCATATATCCAACTTTTACTACAAGTGGCCAACATATGCAATACATGCCCAATTTAGTGGCCAAGTTTTCAACCTAAAAATTACCTATAAATATGTATAAATACAAATCCATGTCTATTAAGCTTCTAAGAATTTTTTTTACAAAATATTATTAAATTTAATTATTTTTTATTTACTTCTATGTACTGATATTATTTATATAATTACTAAAATAAATATGTTTATTTGTAATAGCTATATGATAATATTCTATAAATCATGTAACATGTTAAATTTTTAATCTTAATTTTTTGTTAAATAATTCAATAATTAATAGCTCTTGAGTTGAATTTAATGGTTGTTGAATTTACCTATTGTAAATTTCTTCAATGAAAAGCTATAAGGTGAATTTTTTCATTTATTCATATTTATGAGAATAATGCACCTAAGACAAAGTCTAATGTATTTTTTTCTATGAAAAATGCTTTAAAAAAGTCAATGTGATACAAGATTGGTGTTGTTGTAAAAGTTGTCTTTGAAGCTTCAAATATTGCTATAGCTTCATTATTCTATTCAAGTTTATTTTTACAAGTTAAATGTATAAACAAAGTTGTGACTTGAAATAAGTCTTTAATAAAGATTGGATAATATTTTTCAACTTTCAAAAAATAATAGACAATTCTTATTGTTCTTGAAATATTTGAATCCATGATAGTCTAATTTTTTTAAGAACTATCATAAGATCATCATTTAAAATGATATATTCTAAGAAATCAACTTGAATTGTGTAAAATATAAAATTTTCTATTTTAGCATATAATCTTGCATCTTTATGTTTTTATAATATACAACAAATTTAAAATTCATGATTTTTTGTATTATTAAAAAATATATATATATATATTTTTTATCTACATAAAAAATAAAAATTCATCTAAAGATTCTTTAAAAATATTATTTATTATACATTATAAAGCAATCAATGTATTTGTGACTCTAAAAGATATGAAATTTTATTCAAAATATCCATGGTTTGAAATGCAACCTTTCATTTATATCTTTTTTTTATGCATATTATGTTGTATGCTCTTTATAGATCTATTTTTATATAGATCTATTTTTAATTTAATTAATAAAAAATCATAATATTAATGGTAAAAGATATCTATTTTTAATGATAATCTTTTTAAGTCTTCAATAATTCACATATATCTTTAGTAATCTATTTTTTTTTCAAACAAGATAGAGACTCCTATTAGAGATTTTAAATAGCATATGAAAATTTTGGCCAAGTTATGTTCAATTTATTCTTTAAATAAAGCCAAATCATTTTTTAATAAGTTGTAGATTAGTCCAAATGGCAATTGAGCTCTTTTTTAAAGATCAATTAAGTAATTATAAAGACAATCCTTTGATAGAATATTTATATTTTTTTTCCTAAAAAACAACCTGATAATCTTAATATTTATTTGAAATGCCACTTGAAGTCTTTCTATCATTAAAAATAAGTGTGACATAAATAAAAAAAAAAAGACGACCTTCCTTATGAAATATATATAAGAGATCTTGTACTTATAAATAAAGATTTAATTTTATTAGACTTATGAATTTTTGCTTTGGTAGCAAAACTTTTAGTTATGCTATGGAAAAAAATCAAGATTATAAGAAATCCAATCTATTTGAGGATAATATTTTATAGTCGTATTAAGTCTAAAATCATTTGGTTAAATAAAGATCTAATAACATTAAACATCACTGAATTATTATGATCATTAATTATTACTTCTATAAATATAATTTCATGAGTAATATTTCTAAAAGACTTAGGACAATCATTTATGACTTCTATATACACAAACTGTATTTTCTTTATTAAAGATGTAATATATCTTTTAACAAACCTTCATCTTAAAAATAAGGTGAGGCTCATGAATCTAATAGGAACAAAGCTTGGTGATTTTTTAGATCTTAAAAAAACATCTATTGTAAATGAAGGTGAGAATTTTGAAGAGAAAATAGGACATTTTCTAGGTATTGCATAAGATTCCAACCGCATGGTGTTGTATTATGTAAAAATCAGCTTGATAATATATTAGGCATTTGATTGTGGAAAGATTTGATTTTATCTTGAGATTAGATTTACAATCCAAAACAATGCATAAGGTATTTAAAAATGCACTCTTTAGCAATTTTAAATAACCCATGTAATATTATAATTATTTTAAGAACATATATTATTAATATTAGAAAAATCCTAAATATTTTATATTATATTCTAATTATTTTAAAAATAAATCCTAAATAATCTTTAACAAATTTCAATAAAATTTTAATAAAATTCTAATTTAATTTTAATTGAATTCTTAAAAATATTAATAAATTTCTTTAAAAAATTCAAATAAATTATAATTGAATCTAAAATAAATCCTAATTAAATCCTAATAATATTTGATAAAATTTTAAATAAAACCTAAACAATCCTAAATAGCCATTAAAATATTTAACCAAATTTTAAGAAAATTCTAATCAAATTTTAGGTAATCCTAATAAAATCATAAAAAAATCCTGAATAAATTTTTGTTTATTTTTAACAAACCATAACCAAAACTTTAAAAAATCTAATCAAATTCAAATTAATTTTAAAAAACTATAAAAATCTTTATAAAATCTTAGCAAAAAACTAATCAATTTCAAATCAAACTTTAATTAGATCTCAATTAAATCTTAATTAAATCTAAACCAACTCTAAGTTATGACATCCAAATCTTTATCAAATTCTATTGTAAATTCAAAACCTCAATAATTAATACATTTATTGATGATCTTAATTCAAAATTTATATATTTTTTAATTTTTTATTTAAAAATAAGCAAAAAAATATTTTAAGAAAATCAAACTTATAAAATTTAGAAAAAAAACTCATAATCTAGTTGAGACTTGGTCGACATATTGTTCCAACTTTGATGTCAAGCTCTCAATATCATTATATTATTTTATTATTTAATAATTTTTAATTTTTTATAAAATTTTAAAATCAAGTCTATTATTAATCTATCAAATTTCATCTTAATCAAATTAGTAAGTTGTTGCAAATTTCAAAAAACCTTATTAGGCTTTAAAAACAAATTTTTGAGGCCTTAATCAACTTGAATTTTAATAATCATTTAACTAATTATTTCATCTAATTGAAGTTCATAATACACATTCAATCCAACTATATTCACAAATTCAAAAGTTTCTACTTGTAGATTTTTTAGAAAACTCAAAAAATTCTCTAAAATACAATTTTTATTTTATTTTATTTTTATTTTACAAAAACCAAAGTCATCCAAAACAATCATGAATTTCTAAAGTTCTTATAAAGTCATTACAAATTCAAATCACCTAAAATTAATGCTTAAAGAAGTCTTTTTAAGTTTGTTCTCAAATCTTCTTCTCTAATTAAGAAAAACATCCTTAGAATTTGATTTTGAGTCAAGTTCATAATTAATCTTTTTAAGTATCAATACCTTTGAAAGGACCAATTGTGAATTTGGATCAAAATCAAATCTTATGATCTTTTAGGTAAATTTTTTTAGAAGCTATTTTTAATTCTATCTAAATATATCCATAATAT